GACACTTTCTCTCTCTGCTGACTCCCTGAGAGACATTTTTCTGAGGAGAAGCCACACGCAGCTACCCTGAGACAGGCAGTTTCAGAGCTGAAGGGACCATGTGGAGACTCCTGCCAGCGCTGAGATGCTTACAACACCACTGGATCCACAAGACTTCCAACCCACTGGCCTGTGATCTTCCTGCATTCAGTGTCATTGCATGTGTTTTGTGAGTCTTAAGAGAACTTTATAGATTGGTATCCGACATATGGGCTAATATCGGACTTATGGACTTGATCTGCACTGGGCTGGGATGTTTTCTCAATATTCCATTGCCCTTGTATATCAAGCTCTTTCTTACGCACATACGTGTGTCTCTGGATTTGTTTCTCTAGCCCACCCCGGCTGACACAGCTTGGGTCAGGCACACCGGGGTCCCGAGAGTGACATATATGTGCTCTTTCACAGGCAGGGGTCTCTTGCAGCAGATGAAATTTGTCGAGTTCTGGGCTACTGTGTCCATGGGTATCGACTGTGGATCCCAATAAAATGATAACGTCAATCTTGGCTCCCTTTCCATCACGTTGCCCATTGCTTCCTTTGAGAAGAGTTTTGTTTCCTGACGCTGTGGCATAATCTAGCCCGAAGGCTGTAGCTTTTTGTTTTGTTTTACGTTGAATTCTTTTCTTTTCATAAATCATTTTATTGGGGATTCTTACGGCTCTGACAACAATCCATACAGCCATTGTGTCAAGCACATTTGCACATAGGTTGCCATCATCATTTCCAAACACTTGAGCCCTTGGAATCAGCTCCTCTTTTTCCCCTTCCCTCCCCCACCCTGCCACCCTCTGAACCCTTGATAATTTATAAATTATCTTTATTTTCACATTTCGCACCCTCCGCTGTCTCCCCTTCACTCAAGGCTGTAGTTTTTGACCTTCATCAGTAAGGACTTCAAGTTCTCTTGACGTTTAACAAGGAAGACGGTGTCACCTGCCTCTCTCAGGTGGTTAACGAGTTTTCTTGCATTTCTGATGCCTCATTTGGCTTCTTGGGTTTTTTTTTTTTGCTCAACATCCAGATTGAATAAGTATGGTGGAAAGATACAACCCTGATCCTCATTTTCAACCATACGGTACCCCCTTGTTTTGCTTGAATAGCTGCTTTTTAATCTATGTATATGTTCTGCGTGAGCACAATGGAGTGTTCTGGAATTCCCATTCTTAGCAACAATCCTCATAATTCCTTAGGCCCCACACAGTCCAATGCTTTTGCATAACCAGCGAAACACAGGTAAACAGCGCTCTAGCATTCTTTGCTTTCGGCCACCATCTAGCTGACCTCAGCAGAGATAGCCCTCATTCCACTCCTTCTTCCAAATCCAAATCCAGCTGGAATTTTTGGCAATTCCCTGTGGATATACGATTGCAGCCATTGTTTAATTGTCTGCAGCAGATCTTTCTTTGGATGCCACAGGGTGCTGTTTGGGCCTAAAGTCTCTTGGAGAAGGCTCAGCCCTGGGTCCCCCCAGCCCCCTTGGCTGTGGCTTCAGGGGGAGCCCCTCTCTGTCTCATCTGGCATGGGGTTCTTCCTTCCCTACTGGATGGTTTCCTAGCTCCCAGCCTGGCTGGTGACCCTGTAGGCCCTGGTCCTCCGGATCTATAGGTGAGACTCACGTGTGACCCCCAGGTCAGCATCCACAGGGGGCCAGTGCATCCCTGCAGGGGCCTACATCCATCTCTCCACCCCCCAGCCCCCAGCCCCTCGAGTCCACCCAGATCTTGTGGTACATGGAATAGAACTTTCCCAGAGGGATCCCAAGTCTGCAACTCTTTGAGGAAGCTGACAGCCTCCTCTTTCTCTCATGGGGCCGCTGGTGGGATCTGAACCGCTAACCTTTTGGTGAGTAGCCCAGTGGGGATCCCATGAAGAAGAGCTCCTTGGGTTGTCTCAGATGTGTTTCACAATAAGGGTCCCTCTTCCACTTTGTTCTGGGAATGAACGCATTTCTTTTTAGCTGTTATTATTTCTGTTTGCGTGTTCGACGTCTTTCATCGTCTTTTGGGTGTGAGTTGAGGGAGCAAATTCAGCCATGGGGACACATTTTGCTTTGGGTCACATTGGCTGAAAACACCTCAGTGTCACACTGCCTGCCCCCACTCCCACCCCCACCCCCCAGTTTATTATTGTTACCCTAGGCAGTGCAAAAAGTCTTTCCTTTATGGGAGTAGACAGCTTCATCTTTCTCCCTTGGCATGGCGGGTGGTCTCGTGGCGGGTGGTCTCGAATGGCTGACCTTGCTGTTAGCAGCCTGACGTGTAACCATAACCTCCCCAACCTCCGGGGCGGGGGCTGTGGTGCGTCTGAAGTTGCGAAGGTGTCCTGAGTCCGAGTAGGCTTTGCAGCAAGGAGTTTCACAAAAGTCTCAGGAGCAGGCAGCCCACCCTCTTGGCTGGGAACAGGAAGGTGGGCGGGTCAAGTCCACCCAGAAGCACCTTGGAAGAAAGGCCTGGTGATCTCCTGCTGAAACCCCCAGGAGGCGCGGTTCTAGGAGATACACTGCGGGTGTGCCCTGAGCTGGAGGCCACCCAATGGCACGTGGTGTGGAGTCTTCTCTCTGCATGCATCCCCTGGGAGGGCCACACCAGGGAGCTGGGAGGGGGCTCCACTGTGAGACTGAGGTCAGCAGGGGGCCTGGGGACCAGGTTTCCAGGGGGCCCAGCAGAAGGCCTGGTGAAGCTCACCTGGGGCACATGGCAGCCAGAGTTAGAGGGTTTCACCAAGCAGGTGGTGTGGGTTGAGGAATGTCTATCACCTGTTCCACCGTGTGTGTGTGTGTGTGTGTGTGTGTGTGTGTGTGTGTGTGTGTGACCATGACCAGGAACCCCGGGCCTTGAATCTCACCTGGCCGTCTCTTGTCCCAAGAGGTGGAGAGGAGTCTTCCAGGTCACGAAGAAGGAGTGCAGGTACCCAGGGAGCAATGAGGGGTGCTTGGTGAGACGTGCTAGCATGCAGGGAAAGCATGGTGGGCCCAGAGGGGGCCTGATAAGGAGCTTGATTGATCTCAAGCCATGACCCGCATGCAAGGGGTGCCGATGGAGGCAAAGGGAGCCCGGGTGGAGACACTGAGGTTCCAGGGAGAGCATGTCCCATGTGCCCCCTCTGTTCCATACGGGGTCTCATCTAACCCTCCAGCGGTCTGTTGTGTTTCTTACATCGATAGGGAAACGTAGGTTGGAGAAGCTTGTAGATGGACTGAGGAGCACATGACCCTTAGCTGGCCACCCAGAGCCTGTTCTCTGCCGCCTGGAGACAAGCCCGTCCTTTCCAGGTGCTCACCTCGGGCTGACCCCGCCCGCGTCCAGCCTGGCCCAGAACATTCCTCTCTGATTCCCAAGCTCCCACCAGCATCCACAACAACGGCTGTAATAGCAAGGCCCTTGGGCACCGCTCCAGCTCCCAGGGCCCAAGTCCTTCCTGCTACCCAGCTGTGAGGATAGAGAGGTTGGCCAGGGACTTGTGGGGCCACCAGAGGCATCATGACTCAGATGAACTGGACAGGACCACGTGAGCCACCGTCCGCCCTTCCCACCAGCAGAGGAGCAGGCCACTGGACCAGGAGCTCCATGAGAGTAAGAGGTACCCACTCTGGACAGCCAGCTCCGAATGGCGGCCTTTGTTAGATCAGCGCCGTTCTGCCCACCCGGGGATCCCAGGGACTGTTCTCCTCGCATCCTTCCTGGGCACTTGTGTCCAACAAGTCAGCATGGCTTCCAAGGAGATACATTGACAAAGGTGGGTCCCCGAGACCCTTCCTTGTCCAAGAACGCTGGACACCAGGGCGCAGTGGAGAAACACCCCCTGCCCTCCCCAGGATGACAGACTCCAGATGTTCCCTGAAACCCTCCTCTTTGACTCCACTCCCTCAAGACACCTCACAGACTTTGCACATTGTTCAAATGGTGACCCAACTCCATGCCCTGTTCCCAGGGAGACAGGCAGGGTGGCACCGAGGAGGAGGAGAGAGGAAACCACACTGAGTCAAGTCCCCTGACTTGAGATCCTTCTGCTCAGGCCCAAGACCAGCACACACCATGTGTTTGTCAGGTTGTCCCACTGTGCTGGTTTGTATACTGCTGTGAGCTGGAAGCTATGCCAGGGGTATTTCAAATGCCAGCAGGGTCACAGAGGGTGGGTAGGTTTGAATGGAGCTTCCAGACAAAGACTAGGAAGAAGAGCCTGACCATCTATTTCTAAAATCTGGCGCATGAAAACCCCATGGGTCACCTTGGAGTCTTGTTTGATATGATGCTGGATGTCACCAGGAAAGACCAGGTGGTGGGGGTGAGGGTGGGGGGAAGGCCACCACGGTATGTGAAGTGGAGGATCAGGAAGCATCCTGTGATGGTGTGGGATGACGTCAACTAGACACTGCTGACAAAGGGTGGGGGCGATGCTCAACCTATCCATGGTGCCGAAGCCTGGGGATCCCTCCTTGGTGTCATAAGTCTTTCAGTATAAGAGCGAGAGGCTGAACAGAGCTGAATGCTCTTTGGCCCTTCACTTTCTCCTGGTCCTGGATCTCGGGTCTGGTTCCTCAGTCTCCTGTTGGGTCAGCTGCAGACCCCAGTCGCTGTCGGTGCACTACTGATAGTGGATTCATTCAGCTGGCTTCTGACCTTGGCCTCCACCAGCCTGTGCTGCCTCTGCTGTCTGTTCATCAGCGCTCATGAGTCCGGAGAAGCCGGACTTGCACCAGACGGGACTGACCTAGCTCTACAACCGTGTGAACTATTTCTTGATAGAAATCTCTTTTCATCGACAAGCACGTACAAGCGTCACTGGTCTTGCTTCTCTAGAGAACTCAGCCTAACACACTGAAGGAACCCTGCTTCATGAGACTGCACATTTGAGGCCACCATGGTCTCAAACGTTCATGAAGATGGTGCAGCAGCAAGCAGCACTTCATTCTTGTCTGCCTTTGCTTTCCAGCTGAGGACTTGGGAGCTCTCAGACCATCACAGAACCTGGAAGGTGGCCTCCTGCTGACAGAAGATGCTGTTGTCCAATTTCTGAGAAGAGGACCAGAGACACTCTGGCACGAGCCAGACCAATCCTAATGATGCGCATCATATATCAGCAAACAAACAAGCAAACAAAACAAACGAACAAAAACCAAAGATGCAGATAGCACCTGTGCTGAAAGGCATCTTCCTCACCCCTCTCATATGCCTCTAAAGCCCACAGAGGGGTGGGGGAAGAAAAATAACAGCAATGTGGGACCA